GAGTGTTTTTTCCCCATTTGATGGATTTTGGGCCCTTCTCAAAGATCAGATGACCGTAGGTGGATGGATTTACATCTGGGTTCTCAGTTCTGTTCCATTGGTCAATGTATCTGTCATTCCAGTACCAGGCTGTTTTGACTACCGTAGCTGTATAGCAAGTTCTGAGTTGAGGTAGTGTGAGACCTCCTACTTTATTCTTCTTTTTCAATAGAGCTTTACTTATCCGGGGCTTGGTATTTGGATCAGGATTGCATTGTATTTGTAAATTGCTTTGGGTAGAATTGTCATTTTTACAATGTTGAGTCTACCTATCTATGAGCATGGTATGTTTTTCCATTTCTGTAGGTCCCTTTGGGTTTCTTGCAGTAGTGTTTTGTAGTTTTCTTTGTATAGGTCTTTTACATCCCTGGTTAGATTTATTCCTAAGTATCTTATTTTTTAGGGGCTGTTATAAATGGTATTGTTTTCCTGATTTCCTTTTTGAAGTTCTCTTTGTGTGTAGGAATCCAGCTGATTTTTGTATGTTTATCTCGTGTCCTGCTACTCTGCTGAATGTTTGTATTAGTTCCAGTAGATTTCTCGTGGAGTCTTTCGGGATTTCTATGTATAGTATCATAGCATCTGCAAACAGGGACAGTTTAACTTCTTCATTACCAATGTGGATGTCCTTTATTTCTTTTTCTTGCCTTATTGTTCTAGCTAGAACTTCCAGCACAGTGTTAAATAGGAGTGGTGATAAAGGGCATCCAAGGTTGTAATCTTTATGCAAGCCAACTGTCACATCTTTCTCCTGTGGAGTGACTGGTGTGTTTGAACTACCAACCTTTTGGTTAGCAACTGAAGGCTTTAACCACTGCACCACCAGGGCTGCATAGATTCATCTGTAGTTATCATTTTACTTCATTTGTGTTCTCTGTTACTTATTTTTCCCCTAAAACACTTGGGGGTAACTTATATACATAATGTCTCTTTACCCCTAAGTACTCCAGGGAGAATTTCCTAAGTATAGCAATTCTCTTACAGAAGTATAGTACAGTTGTCAACTTTAGTAAATTTAAGGTTGATAATATTTTATCTAATTTACTATCCATATTCCAATTTTGTCATTTGACAGATGACCATTTTTCTCTCCAGGACAGATCCCGTGGAGATTAGATACTGAATTTAGTGGTCAGATCTCCTTAACCTTCTTTAATCTGGAACATTTCTACAGCCTTTCTTTGTATTTTATGAAAATGATACATTTGAAGAATACAGTTCGCCTTCCACCACCACCACCCCTTTTTAGTAGGATGTTCTTCATTTTGGATTTACTCATGTTTTCTGTGATTCAGTTCAGGTTATGCATTCTCATAGATGATGTGTCTTTCTCAGATGTCACTTTTGGAAGCACTTAATGACGATCTGCCTATGTTGATGATGTCTGTTTAGAACACCTGACCTATTAGGACATTGTCTAAATTTTTCACTGTATATTTACTATTTTTTTCACTTGTGACTAATAAACATTTGGTAGAAGAACATTTTTAAGTCCTTGTCAAAATTTCTCCCTAGATTTAGAATCCAGTGATGATTCTTCCCTCATCCAGTCTTTATTCTGATTGTTACAAAATGCCGATTTTTCCACTTTTTCCCTCCACCTTTATCAGCTGGCCCTCTCACTCTGCTGTAAGCCAGGAGGTCTCCTTTTTTCCCTTGTTTGTTTGTTTAGTATTTGTATGGACTCATGAAATCTTATTTTTTGAATAGTTTATAATTCATAACTCTAATTATTATGGTGCCTAAATCAGGGGTTCAAGCCAACTCTTGTGTTCTTGGGACATGCTCCCATCATTTTTCTTTTTTAGCATCTCCTTACCTGCTGACATAAGATATCCCAGCTCATTTTGTACATACCCTGCCCCAACCCTGGAATAAGCCATTTCTTTGAGGAGCCCTGGTTCCTTTTAGCAGGGAATGGTAGTATAGACAGACCAAGAACAGGGTGCTAGATGTGCTCAGTAATAGAGCTGGGAAATACATGCATATAAATTTATACACATATAAACCAAAACCCAAATCCGTTGCTGTTGAGTCGATTCTGACGCATAGCGACACTATGGAACAGAGTAGAACTGCCCCATAGGGTTTCCAAGGCTATAATCTTTATGGATGCAGACTGCCACATCTTTCTCCCGTGGAGCAGCTGGTGAGTTTCAACTGCTGACCTTTTGGCTAGTAGCCAAGCATTTAACCACTGCACCACCAGGACTCCGTTTGTACACATATACATACAATATATATGTTTTTATATATACATCCATATACATGTGCACTTACATATACACACAATACATATTTTAGAAATCATGAGAATTCACATCAGTACTTCCAGTTCATCCCCACAGGGTTTTTCTTGCCTTCTGCTATTCCATATTTCTATGTCTCTTCTTCCTGGAGAGCCCTCACTCCCAACAGTATCCACACATTTACTCAGTTACTCAGTCTCTTGATAACATCTAAAATTGCTTCAGAATTGGTTTGTCCATAGCACTACAGAAAACAAACCTGCTAAAAAGAGTACAGGGTTTGTTTGCCGTTTTTCCTCCCCACCCTATCCCACCCCACCCTGTCCCATCTACCAGCCTTCCCAAGACTGAGGATGTGTAGTATGTAGTCAGGTACTATGTTCGTAAGTTACTTGAGTTATTTCTTTATTTATTCCCCCCCTGCCATATAACTATGCTGTTGGTGTGAAACAAAAATTCATTAGTTTCTATTTGCTTTCTGTTTTAGGTGTTTCCCTCCCCCCTTTTCCCAGTCTCATTGATTTAATTTTATTTTTTGAATATGCAGAACATTATTATGCTTTCATAGGTAAAAACTATACAAAAGCTATACTCAGAGTGTCTGTCCCTTCTGCCTCACTCCCCACCCCTTGTAGGTAGCGAACTTTATTGTTTTCTGGTTTATCATTGCTATAAAGAGAAGCAAAATATAAATGTTTTCTTATTTTCTTTCTTTCGTGCACAAAATGTAGCACATATGCTCTTTTTCACTTTGCTTTTTTGACTTTACAGTATATCCTGGAAATTGCTCCATAACAATTCGAAGATCTTCCTCATTCTTTTTTGGTACTCCATTGTGTATAAGTTCCATAGTTATTCAACCAGTCTTAAATGCTTGGACATATAGGTAGTCTTTAAAAGATTTTGCAATTAGAAATAATGCTACAAAGAATAACTTTCGTACATATGTACTTTTGTATTGTTCGAAGTGTATCTTCAGTAAAAATTCCTAGAAGTGGGATTTCTGCTTCGAAATGCATACATAGTTTTGTTAGATATTGGCAAATTCCCCTCAACGGGTTGTGTGAATTCGCATTCACAATACTGTATGAGAGTTCCTGTATCTCCACAGCCTCACCAACAGAATATATTATTTAACTTTTGAATATTTGCCAGTCTGACAGAAGAGAAATGGTATCTTAGTTCTAATTTGCATTTCTCTTACGAGTGAAGTTGAATATTTTTTCATATATTCAAGAACTATTTTAATATTTCTTTTTGTGAATTGTCTGTTCACGTCTTTTGCCCCTTTGTTCTGTTTTTCAATTTTTCAAAAATGTTTATTATGTGTATTAACCCTTTATATATGAATTATGTTAAAAATATTTTCTTCCACTTTGTTAGTTGTCTCTTGATTTTGCTTGTAGTGTTTTTTGCCAAGCAAGTTTCTTTTTACAGAGTCAAATTTATCAGTCTTCTTTTGTTGGATCTGTGTCATAGTTAGAAAGCTTTTCCCTCTACCCAGGTTATGTAGGCATTCATCCATGTTTTCTTCTAGTCTTTGTATAGTTTCCCTTTTTTGTATTTAGATCTTGGCTCCATTTGGAGTTTATTCCTATGTATGGTGTAAGGAATGGATCTAATTTATCTTTTCCCAAATGGCATTATACTTGCTTGAACACTATTAAAAAGACCATCTTTATCATTTACTTGATTTCTATATGGAGTTGGGTCTATTTCTGGACTTTCTATTCTGTTCCATTAGTGTATTTGTTTATTCATATATCAGCACCACATTATTTTAATCAGAGGGGCTTTGTAGTATACTTTAATATCTGGTATGGCTAGTCTCCCCTAAGAGCTCTCCCTTTTTTTCCCCTAAGCCATTTGTGTGTGCCCATGCGTGTGTGTGTTTTGGAGATTTGGTTTTATGGCTGTAGGAACTTGATCATCTTTCTGTCCTGAGGACTAAGAGATAGTAGAGGTTGAGGGGCTAAGGCCAAAGGGGAAATGGATGGAGAATCCCTCATGTGGTGTGGGAGCAGGATTCAGAGCACAGATAAAAGATGTGGTGCTGTTGATGGTTCTGGAATTCTCCTGCCTACCCAGTAGCTCTCACATTTGAACTGACATAGACTGCTCTGCTCAAACTAATAATGAACGGGGTGTAGGTAAACTAGGTTGTGCCATGATTCCTCATTGACCTCTGATGACCATAATTAATGCATAATTTTGTGAAGCTCTCTCAGCTGACCACCTTTAGTTTTAATGTTTGCCTGGTGATGCTTTATTTTACTTTCCTAGTGATACCTTGTGTTCCCAGCCTCCTCACCTGTTCTGTAAATTTTAATCCAAAGTTTATCATTTCCATAAGCATAAGTTGGATCATGAGTGTGATTCTTTTTATATGTTTACTCAAAAGTGTGTATCTTTCTTTTCTTTTATTGCCTTTGCTTCCTCCTCACATATCCACATATAGAGTTTCTAAGTAGCATTGACAGGATTCCAGATTCCTGACAAGAGAATCTGATACCCAGTTAAGAGGGGGAGATCCAGACTTTAACTGAGTCTAATCATAGATGTGTAATCATCTAAGGTTGGGGGAGAACTGGCTTGGCACTGTTTCTTTTGTTCTCAGGATCACTCTCTCCACTAGCAGGTGCTAATGGAGTACCAGTTATGTATAGAGTGCTTCAAAGTCTGATGTCTGAACAAAGAGTCCCTGCCTGGACCCTAAAATCTGCTTTGTGAAGGATCTTACCTTCCATGACTCCTGTGCTTTATCCCCAGGTTCCAACCTGGTCTAATATAATTGTTCTTAACAATTACAATACTATAATAACAAAATAAATAATGACATCTGTATAGTATTCATTAAGTGACAGGCATTGTTCTAAATGCTTTATTACCTTATTTATTATTCACAACAGCCCTATTGTCCTTATTTTACAATCAGGAAACTGTGGTACAAAAAGGTTAAGTAACTTTCTCAAGGCCATGCAGCTAAGTATTTGAGCCTAGGCAGTATTACTTCTTATGCTTGATGGTTTGTATTTTTGCTTTTAATCTTTGATATGCCTTGACTGCGGTTAGCCTGTTCATAAGTAGGAATGAAAATCTCTTTACCTGGTAGGGCAGAGTGTTTTTCTATATAGAGTTCCTCTCTGATGATAAGTGGGGATTGCCCACTTTCAGGGTCAGTGTTTTTCTTGGAGGTAAAGTTCAGGAGGCCAGGCCAACTCCAGGTACCTGCAGCTTTCTTTCTTTCCCATCTATGATATTGCCATCCTCATGATTTTGTAACCACTTCCCTGACATCTCTACCCAGGTACGAATTTTTTGTCTCTTTAGTTTTACCTATTTGCTGCTGATTATGTCTCCCTAACTTTTATATTACCTATTTTTTTGTTCTTATACATTCTGTTTGTTTTTCCATAACTAAATGACATTGTTAAAAAAAAAAAGAAAGAAAAACTGATTTATGTTACACATTAGTACTGTGTATGATTTCAACCCATCTTCAACCTGCCTTCATGCTAAGCTGTTATGCAAGGATAGAAGAGTTCTTTGCTCCATTGAAAATTCAGGGCTCTAGCATTTTAACATTATCTCTACTGAGGCAGAAATTTTGGCATGTCCACTGCTGTATCCCCAGTGCTTAAAATAGTACCTATTACACAGCTTCCACTCAATAAATATTTGTCAAGTAAATGAGTGAATTTTGATGTAACTCTTTCAATTTCTGCTAAACAAAGTGAACAGGTATCATTTTCGTTTTCTTGGTTTAGTGTCACATTTGAAGATGAGGAGCACTGAGGATGAGGAATCAACTGAAAAGTATGAAAATTTTGGAAATGCAGAATCTAAGTGGCCAAAAATAGAAGGTCTTCACAAAGATTATGTTCAGGAACCTAAAGTTGGTGAAACTTGTGATTGGGATTACAAGGTAGAGAATCAATTGGAAAAGACTGAGGGAAAAAGAATGAAGGAAGAGAAAAGTGTCATCAGGGAAAAGATTGGCAAAGCCAAGAACATGGCACATGTAAAGACAGAACAGGAAAATGAGGCATCTGAGAAAAGCTTACATTTGAGCTCAAAATATGTTGTACATAATACTGTCTCTGTAGAACAGAAAAACAGTGAGCGAGGCAAATGTATGGAGAACATTAATGGAAACTCTTACTCCAGTCTACAGCAGAAAACCACTACTGTTAAGAAATCACACAAATGTGATGAATGTGGGAAATCATTCAAATATAATTCCCGCCTTGTTCAACATAAAATTATGCACACTGGGGAAAAACGCTATGAGTGTGATGACTGTGGAGGGACTTTCCGGAGCAGCTCAAGCCTTCGAGTCCACAAGCGGATCCATACTGGGGAGAAGCCGTACAAGTGTGAGGAATGTGGGAAAGCCTACATGTCATACTCCAGCCTTATAAACCACAAAAGCACCCATTCTGGAGAGAAGAACTGTAAGTGTGATGAGTGTGGAAAATCCTTCAATTATAGCTCTGTTTTGGACCAACATAAAAGGATCCACACTGGGGAGAAGCCCTATGAATGTGGTGAGTGTGGGAAGGCCTTCAGGAACAGCTCTGGTCTCAGAGTCCACAAAAGGATCCACACAGGGGAGAAGCCCTACGAATGCGACATCTGTGGAAAAACCTTCAGTAATAGTTCTGGCCTTAGAGTCCACAAAAGAATCCACACAGGCGAGAAGCCCTATGAATGTGATGAGTGTGGGAAGGCCTTCATTACTTGCAGAACACTTCTAAACCATAAAAGCATCCACTTTGGAGATAAACCCTATAAATGTGATGAGTGTGAGAAATCTTTTAATTATAGTTCTCTCCTTATTCAACATAAAGTCATCCACACTGGAGAGAAACCTTATGAATGTGATGAGTGTGGGAAGGCCTTCAGGAACAGCTCAGGCCTTATAGTGCATAAAAGGATCCACACAGGAGAGAAACCTTATAAGTGTGATGTCTGTGGCAAAGCCTTCAGCTATAGTTCAGGCCTTGCAGTCCATAAAAGCATTCACCCTGGGAAAAAAGCCCATGAATGTAAGGAGTGTGGAAAATCTTTCAGTTATAACTCACTTCTTCTTCAACATAAAACTATTCACACTGGGGAGAGACCTTATGTATGTGATGTGTGTGGGAAAACCTTCAGAAACAATTCAGGCCTCAAAGTCCACAGACGGATCCATACTGGGGAAAAACCTTATAAATGTGATGTGTGTGGAAAAGCCTATATCTCACGCTCTAGCCTTAAAAATCACAAAGGAATCCATCTTGGGGAGAAGCCCTATAAATGCAGCTATTGTGAGAAATCCTTCAATTATAGCTCTGCCCTTGAGCAACATAAAAGGATTCACACTAGGGAGAAACCCTTTGGGTGTGATGAGTGTGGAAAAGCCTTCAGAAATAATTCAGGCCTTAAAGTACATAAACGAATCCATACTGGAGAGAGACCTTACAAATGTGAAGAATGTGGGAAAGCATATATCTCACTCTCAAGCCTTATAAATCATAAAAGTGTACATCCTGGGGAGAAGCCCTACAAGTGTGATGAGTGTGAGAAAGCTTTCATCACATACCGAACCCTAATAAATCACAAAAAAATTCATCTTGGAGAAAAGCCCTTCAAATGTGATGTGTGTGGGAAATCTTTTAATTACACTTCACTCCTTTCTCAACACAAAAGGGTCCACACTAGAGAGAAACCCTTTGAATGTGACAGGTGCGAGAAGGTCTTCAGAAACAACTCAAGCCTTAAAGTACATAAAAGAATACATACTGGGGAGAAGCCCTATGAATGTGATGTGTGTGGAAAAGCCTACATCTCACACTCAAGCCTTATTAACCATAAAAGTACCCACCCTGGCAAGACACCCTTTACGTGTGACGAATGTGGAAAAGCTTTTTTCTCAAGTAGAACTCTTATAAGTCATAAAAGAGTCCATCTTGGGGAGAAACCCTTTAAATGTGTTGAGTGTGGGAAATCTTTCAGTTACAGCTCACTCCTTTCTCAACACAAGAGGATCCACACGGGGGAGAAGCCCTATGTATGTGATTGGTGTGGGAAGGCCTTCAGGAACAGCTCAGGCCTCACAGTGCATAAAAGGATTCATACAGGTGAGAAACCCTATGAATGTGATGAGTGTGAGAAGGCGTACATCTCACACTCAAGTCTTATCAACCACAAAAGCATCCACCGTGGAGAGCAGCCCTATAATTGTGAGTGTGGGAAATCTTTTAATTATAGATCAGTCCTTGACCAACACAAAAGGATCCACACTGGAAAGAAGCCATACAGATGTAATGAGTGTGGAAAGGCTTTTAATATCAGATCAAATCTTACCAAGCATAAAAGAACCCACAATGGAGAGGAATTTTTAAATGTGACATATGTGGGAAATCATAGTAGTGCATCACAGAAGAGAACCCTCGAGGGAGGGAATGTTCTGGATGGGACCAGGATGAGAATATCTCTGTAGAAGGTAGAGTTTACCAAGTCTCAAAGAGCTCAAAGGAAAGAAAACCTTGTGAATGTAAGAATGTCTGAGATCCTTATTCATGGCTTATAATTTAGATAGTCTAAATGAAATTATTCTAGATGATTGTAAGTTATGTTTCCAGTGTGTTTCTAAGTCATAGTGTCAAGGTAGCTGAGCCCTTATGGAATATAAAGTAGTTCATATTCGTGATACAACCTTTCAAGGTGATGGAATGTGAAAAGAATCTTCAAAATAAGCACAGATGTTTCTGGATATAAATCACATGGATGAGAAAAGGACTTCAGTTAGGAATCACTTAATTACCATCAGAAAGTTCATATTTGGATAAATTTTGTGAATAGAAGTGTAGGCAATATGGGTATAGCTTTGAATCCCATTTATATATTGGTCAGTGGAAAAGTCCAAGAAGGGTTTCCAAAAGGCAAATTCAGGGAGAGACTGGATTCAGGGGATATATTTAATAGTAGTGATCATGAAGTATGAACTTGATATAATTGAATGAATTGGGGAGGATGATGACAACTTGTGAAACAAAATTTGGATTTCAGTGTAAGAAAAATAGAAGGTGTAGACTGTTACAAATGTAACAAAAGATAGGAGACTTACATTTGGAAAATACAAGTTGATTGGAAACTGCTCTAGTAATAAAAAAGCTGATGCGATTGAGTTGATTTTGACTCAGTGACCCTATAGGACAGAGTAGAACTGCCCTGTAGGGTTTCCAAGGCTGTAATCTTCATGGAAGCAGACTGCTACAGTTTCTCCCACAGAGCGGCTGTTGGGTTCGAACTGCTGACCTTTTGATTAGCAGCCAAGCACTTAACCACTGTGCCACCAGGGCTCCTAATGTTGTAATACACTAGTTGAATTGGTGAAACTTTTTAGAAATTTCAAATGGATCCCTTCAAGGGATGATGAATCTGAATGAAGGTGAAAAACTTAAAGGTGGTATTCACACTTTATGCTACAATAAAAGGTTCTACTGTGGATTGGATTTCAGCACATTCAATAAATATGGAACATATCTTCAGCATGATTTCACACCTTACACAACAGAAAGAATTAATTCAGGGATTCTTGTGAATAGGAGTACTGGGAAGGGAGGGCATTTCATTGCCGGAGCTAAAAGACTTACTAAGTAGCTACCAGTAATTGAGGAAATCCATGCTTCATAAGTAATCCTGTTAAACGTTTGTTTTGGAATGTGTTTTTCTAAGGATTTCATGCAGTACATATGTATATTGTCCGTTTTAAAATATTATGAATACTTCGGGACTTAGTCTCTGCCATGAAGACCAGTTAGTTATGGTGAGGTAAGATGGAACTCCAATAAAGAAATTCCTCAAATGTAAACAGGCTATGACTTACTTTAGATGGAGCAGTATACAGAGAAAGCCATTCAGAGTGTCAGATCTTTGTGAGGGTGTTATACCAAATTCATATCAGGGAGGGCAGCAGGGTATCATCCTATAGCGCTAGTAGCTTAGGATTCATGAGAAGTTAGGTGGTACTCCACCAGGAAAAGCGCAGTGGGTTTTGAGGGGCCCCAGGTAAGCAGTGTGATTCTCATACTTAGGCTGGATTATAATTCCTAGGAGGGGGTAGGCTATGTGAGTGATCAGTCATCACACAGAAACTGTTTCTGACAGGACAGATAGAAATTAACATGAAATATTGTTAACTAGTTACAAAGGTGTTAATTAGGTAACTCAAAGGGTAGAAAGGGACTCTTCTGAGAGTTAAGTAACCTATCCAAAAATACTCTGAGTGGAGCCAATTCAATAGAGACTGAATTCTAATAAAAAGTCTTTCTGGCTCCAAGATGCACACTCTTTACAGTAAGTTTGATAGAATGAGGGAGGGGGAAAGAGAATGTGTGGAGACAGGACAAGGAGAAGGAAAGAGCATTTCTGTGACTCCACTTTGGAGTGTTATGAGCACACTTGCTTTTTCTTCTCTGTATTGACTCCCAGTGATCCGCAGGGCCCAGACTGATCTTCCATTTGCTGAAGATGAGACTGGCTCTGAATTCAACAATCAGGTTACCTGAAGTTTCCATGTGCTGCACATGCGCCAGGGTGATGGGTATGCCAGTGGCTTGAGGTCCACCCTGCACACACATGTACTTGAACTCCATCTGGACCTAATACACTACCTACTTTGGAGGAAGATGGGTTAAATAACAAAGGAAAGAATGGCCACTGTCCAGATGGGGATTCAGAGAGCTTCTGTGTGCTGTGCACAGGGACATGCTCTGCCTTTTGCCACCACTGACTCAGGACGAGGAACCCCTGAGGACCCAGGACCTCCAGTGCATAGGAAATGGGACTGCAGGGCCTCTTGCCTGGGCCTCGAGTGCTCCTGAGGGCCAGATATATGACCCTTGGGTTAATTCAGGACATGGATCTCTGGTTCTCAAGCTACCCCAGGTAGACATCATGGCATGAATCCAATGAGCTGGTGTGGCTGCACCCCCTTAGGTCCTCATCAGGACTCAAGCTGGTTTAACACCCCCCACCACCACCTTTCAGAAGAATGTCTGATACATAAAATAAAGTTGGCAACATGTAGGTAAATCAAACACTGTATAAAAAAATTAATAGTGTATAGTTTCTAGGGCTAAAGATAGAATTGAAATGTTAGGCAACAGTAGATAAATTGGAAGCTGCATAAAAGTGGCCTAAAGTGCTTGTATTATCTGGGAGGAGGGTCAAGATACTGGTTAAGTCTAGGTTTTAAGTTAAATATGTGTGGTAAAATGTCATGGGCAATCACTAAAAGAATAGAACCAAAATATAAATTTATTTTAAAACTGAGCTTTAAAAATTGAGAAAAGAGAAGAAACAAATATAGAAAAGGTGGGACAAGACTTTCTTGTAAAGGTAGGCTAGGTTATTTGGATCAATTTCCCACCAAAAACAAAAAGACTGCATAGATAGATAGCTCTCCCAAGAGCACAATGAAACTGAAAAGACAGCGGGTAATCTCAGGGCAGTTTTAAAATGGGGTCATGTGATCAGAGAGAATAACACCACAGTTGGGTGCCAGTTCATCAGCTGGGGGTGGGGGGTGACAGGGACAGAAGATCAGGGCCTGGCCACCTAAGGCACTGACTCTTCACAGGAGACGTTTCCAACGTTAAACTGGGTTCCCCAAGTGCTACGCTCTTAGTATAAAATAAAGCAGATCTAAACCCATCCCTCTCCCCAGTCTTGGGGCTACAGAGACAGCTGCTTTGTTACTGAGCAGAGCAGTAGAAGGAAATAGCCCTGACAAGCTACGGCCTCAGACAGCCCTTACACAATCTGAGACCTGGAAAAGCAAACATAAAACTTGGAAGAAGACTTGTTTAATCTAGGCCTCAGGTGGCACCTATAAATATTTTTTCAGGGTCAATGACCAGCAAGTAGTCATAGATAACCAGGCACATAAAGAAAAAATGGCAAAATGAATGAAAACCAGCAGAAAAGAACAGACCCACACAGACTTCACATACTGAATCAAGTACATTTGTGAAAATAATTGTTCTTAAAATGTTTAAAAGACATTCTTTAAAAACTGAAAATAACTGCAGGGAGCAGAAATTTAGTAGAAGTAAAATTACACATTTAAAAAAGAACCAGTCAGAATTTCAAGTCTTCATTGAGAGGTTTTAACACATATTTGATCTCTGAAGTAGCAGACAGAAAGAATGGGGCAAAGGGAATGGGGCTGAGAATTTTCCAGAACTGATGGAAAATACAAGTTTGCAGATTTAGAAGCCCAAAGCAGGATAAATTTATTTTTTTAAAAAATTATACCTACAGTACATATCCTATTGTAACTGCAGAAAGGAAAAAAAATCTTAAAAACTGGTGAAGACAAACTACTTTCAAAAAATAATCGTTAGACTTCTCAACAGCAACAATGAAAGCCAAAAAACTGGAATGAAATCATCTAACCAGAGATAGAAAAAAACTGTCAACCTAGAATTTTTTATACCCAGTGAAAGTGTCTTTCAAGAATAAGGACAAAATAAGCACATTTTAAGACAGACAAAAATAGAAAATTCATCCCTGAAGATCCTCACTAAAGGAAATTCTAAATAATGCACTTTAATACAGAAGGAAAATGATTCTGAGATGCAAAAAGAAACAGCAAAGAGAGTGGGAAATATGTGCAATGTAAATGAACATTTTATTTGAAACAAAATCTAGAGTTGTTAAAATAAGACAGACTTAAAATACCAGACAACAATATAAGTCAAGAAGGAGTAAATAGATTTGAGGTATTCTAATGTCTGTATTTTACAGTAGGCAGTAAAGGTTTTGATTTCATGCGTATTATAAAGTCTAGGGTAACCATAAAGTAGAGCATATGATTTCAATCCTAGTAGAGGAAAAAATATTTTAAAACTCAACAAAAAGGCAAGAGAAAAAAACTGGTGAGACAAAACAAAGATGGTAGGTCTTAAGTCAATAATATTTACATTTAATGTAATTTTCTTAAATGACAAGGATTGTCAGGTAGGACAAAAGTACAAAAAAACAGACCAAACCAGTTGCTGGCGAGTAGATTCCAACTCTGGCCCTATGTGTTTTAGAGTAGAGTTGCGCTCCATAGGGTTTCCAGTGGGTGGAAATTTTTTGGAAGTAAATCACTAGGCCTTTCTTCCAAGTTGCCTCTGGGTAGACTTGAACTGCCAACCTTTCAGCTCTTAACCATTTGCATAACCCACAGACTCTTATACAAAAGTACAAAACCCCACTATATGCAGCTTTTACAAGAGACATCTTAAATATAAAGACAATTTTAAAGTAAAAGAATGGAAAGATTCTATATGAAATAAATAGTAACCAATAGAAAGCTAGTACAGCTCTACTAATATTAGACAAAGTAGTTTAAAGCACAAACCATTGCTAGAAATAAAGGGGTCATTGCTTTAAGACAAAAGGTTCAGAGAAGAGAAAACTTGGAAGATACAACGGTTTTAAGTTAGTATCCAATAATATAGTTCAAAAGATTGGCAAAAATTTACAAAACAAAAAGGAGAGATACACAAATCCACAGTCCCGATGGAAGACTTTTGACACCTCTCAGTAATTAATACCATAAACAGACTAAATAGTAAAGATGAACAATACAATTAACAAGATAAATACTTTTATACATGAAACATTTTGAAAAATGTATTACATGCTAGACCATAAAGCAAGTGTCAACAAAATTTAAAGGACTGAAATCTTACACAGTATGTTCTCTGACCATGCAATTACACTAGAAATTAATAATTTAAAACACACTTAGCACCTCCCCATTATGTTCAGAAATTTACAAATACATTTCTTAATAAATCATGGTTCAACGATGAAAATATTTTGAACTGAATGATAATGAAAATAGTATTTATCAAAACCAGTGGAATGTGGCTTAAGCATTTAAAAAAAAAAAAAAAAAACCGTTGCCATCGAGTTGATTCTAACTCAGCAACCCTATAGGACAGAGTAGAACTGCCCCACAGGGTTACCAAGGCTGTAATCTTTACAGGAGCAGATTGCCATGTCTTTCTCCCACAGAGTGGCTGGCTGGTGGGTTTGAACTGCCAACCTTGAGGTTAGCAGTTGAGCTCTTAACCACTGTGCTACCAGGGCTCTGCTTAAGCAGCACTTAGAAATGAATAGCCTAAAAAAGATACTTTAGAAAATCAGAAAACCTGGTAATTAATCACTCATGCCCCATCTCGGAAAGTTACATCACAAATTCCTAAAGTTAATGTAAGGATGTAATGAAATGCAGAAATTAATGAAATAGAAAAACAATATAGAGGATCAACAAAGCCAAACGTGTTTGTTTTGTAAAAAGACTAATAAAATTGACAATCCTCGGTGAGATTGACCAAGAAAGCACAAATAACTGAAATCAGGAATAAAAAGGGGACTGTAGAGAACTATTTTCTTCTCTGAACATACACTGACCCTCCCAACCCCCTCGCCTTGCTCCTTGATAACTGCGAGAATAACTCACTCCCTCTAAATTCCTTAATTGAGTCAACAATTCTAGAACAGGATGTAACAGACTAAGATGAGCCAAATCACTCATTTCTGTAAGATTGCAATGTCTACTTGACCAAAGCCCACTAAAATTGCAGTGGGTACTTTGCTGCTTTTGTTTCTTTCCCCTTACAAAACTCTCATTCCTCAAGTTTGAAGAGACTCCTTTTGAGAAAGTTCCCTGTTCCTACAGTTGGAGTTCAGAGAATTTCTAAAGTTTGACATTGCAAATGCTAGCTATTAAAACAATAAGATGATGTTATAATTTTAGGCCAATAAATTAGAAATTTTAGATGAACTGAGAGAATTCGTAGAATAAAACTTACCCAGAAAGGTCTGATGGAAACCCTGGTGGCGTAGTTGTTAAGAGTTCGGCTGATAACCAAAAGGTCGACAGTTAAATCCGCCAGGCGCTCCCTGGAAACCCTGTAGGACAGTTCTCCTCTGTCCTATAGGGTTGCTATGAGTTGGAATAGACTCGCGGGCAATGGGCTTTTTTTTTTTTTTTTTAATCTTATACATGTGGAGTGTGGGAAAGACTGCAGAGTGAATTCAGTTTCTGTTGAACTCAAAGGAGGTGCAAGAGGGGAATAAGAGGGAGGGAGGGGAAAAGAAAGTATGAAGGAAAACCTTAATAAGCAACGAGCCATCCTCCCCATTTTGTTTCAGTTGGTCTTTTATCCAGCAAGGTCATCTCCCTTGCACAAAACAATGTCTGAGATATCAAACCCGCTGCTGTTGAGTTAATTCCGACTCATAGGACAGAGGAGAACTGCCCCATAGGGCTTCCAAGGAGCGACTGGTACATTCCAACTGCCAAACTTTTGGTTAGCACCCAAGCTGTTAACCCCTACACCACCAGGGCTGAGATATAGAGGTTGGTTATTTACCAATAGTTGAGTTGTCTTGAGGCCTTTTCATCCAGAAGTCATTCCAAAAGAAGTTATTTTTTAGACCCTGTCCTCTGGTGCTAGGTATTTTTTAAACTATTAATTTCTAGCTTAAGAAACAAAACTTTAATGAGCACAAACCATGGAGCTCCCATGTTCCAGCTTCTTTTCTAGGAGGGCTTTCTTGCTCTAAAAACAAAGATTGATTCAAGCATGTTATAGCTGAAATACTATCAGTCAATAGCAATACCCTGACTAACATTTTTCTTCCTATGATCTTATCACCCTCCTTCCCACCCCAAAAAACAAAATAAAACATATTTTTGCCACTTTTACAGGAAGAGTTACATCATTTCCCAGCTCCATGCTTACCTCCTCCCACATCCAGAACTCTGAAAGTTATCTTGTTTGTTTTGTCTGGAAATTTACCAACTGGCATCTAGTGGGGCTTTGAAGGGCATCCTCAGGGCCTTCCCAATTCCCCTGGCTCTTAAACTCCCTCTGAAGTTGACTTCCCCTTGCCATTGCCAATGTTTAGTAGGAGCCAGGGATATGCCTCCTATCAACACTAGCCCTTGGCTCAGGCTGGTCTCCACTGTGCCTAAGCAGTCAGGGTAGGGGACAATGGATAAACAGTATGGCTACAACTTCAGAGAACATGGCCTTGATTACTCAGTGGCCCTATGTCATGTGCTGTGGGGCCTCCACCTGGGAATCCTCAGCTCACCTCACTTGCCTCACTTGCCTTTCTTTTAGCCAATTTCATGACTGCAGTATTTCGGTGGGCTGGGCACTGGAGGAAAGAGACTGAAACATACACCCATTGTAAGGTTGGATTAATTAACTAGGGATTCAGAATCTTATCAGATGCAAGATGGTGGCTGGAGCAGGGAGGAAGCAGTTTCAGCACATCACAGTGAAGCTCTCCTTGGTGGCCAGGGCCCCTAAGGGGGTATGATTCTGCCAGATCTGGAACATTCGTTACTTGTTAGGACACAACTATTTTAAAATCAGGGGTTACATACCTGTTCTGGAAGAACTAAACCAATGATCTGTGCATTTATATTTTAAGGAATTTTTACATACAACGAGCTGTCATGGCTCCTGAAGCAGACTCTGCATCACTATATGAAGGGAAGTCAAGGGAGCACCTCGGTGCTGCTGTTAATCTACGTTCTACAGCACACCTCTAAATGAGCACTTTTGCTTCCAGACATACTGCGGTGCAGTGAATTACTTAATATGGCCATTCTAGCCATGCATGGAGCCTTGGTGGTGCAGTGGTTAAGAGCTTGGCTGCTAACCAAAAGTTCGGCAGTTTGAATCCACCAGCCGCTCCTTGGAAACCCTATGGGGCAGTTCTACTCTGTCCTATAGGGTTGTTATGAGTGGGAATGGACTCGACAGTAACAGGTTTGGTTTTGGGTTTTTTTTTTAGCGATGCATGCTCCTGTAACTCCCACAAAATGATTGGGTGGGACTATGCAAATAAAGTGCATGTGGGGAATCGAATAGTCTGCTAATGCAAATAAGAGGCATGGAACCCTCGTAGGGGATTGGTTAGTTTGTGGTCTTGCTAGGGGGTGGGAGTGGCCTTGAAATTGATAAGGAGCTTGCTGTATAACCAGCTTCCCTGACATAGGTTTTAGAGGGAGACACAGAGAGAGAGAAGCAGCAGCTGTAACACTGAAGACAGCGAGAGACGGGGTGCAACAGCAGCAGCAAGAGCGACAGCAGCGCCAGATGGCTGCGGTGGGGCTTGCTGCACCACTGAGTTAAGAGTTGTAACACTTGTCTGAGAAGACACCGAGCAGGGCCCTGTGGGCAGAAGGCCCCTAGCTGGGCCCTGTGGCAGAGGGCGAGAAGAAGCTGTTCTGATCAAAGAAATGTATCCTGAGTTGTTCCTGTTACTTCCAAGTTGATTCTGATCCTGAGTTGTACCCTGTTACTTCTCTAATAAACCACTTAACTGTAAGTAGGGTTCTGTGAGTTCAGTGAGATGTTGCAGCGAATTACTGAACCCAAAGATGGGAGGGAGAGTCCTGGGGCCGGGGCGGGGCAGTTGGTGTTAGAAATGATGGAGCGGTACAGCAGTTTGAAGAAGCTGGACATTTGGGACATCTTTAATCTCTGCCTCATAGGAACCAGTTTGTGCTGATTCTTATAAAAGATATTATTCATTTACATACTCTTAATTTTTAACAAAAGGAAACTTGATATATATAACATTAATAAATTATCATGCATATAGTTGTTCACCTTTATTCAAAAGTATATACACATCTTTTTTTGTATTCTAAGAGCTTCCTAGTATCTCATTTATAGTTTTTCCATAATTTATATAACCAGCCTTCTAATGATAAACATTTCGGTTGTTTTCAGTTTCTTGCTGGCATAAACAGTAGTGCAATAAAATGTATCTTCCCACCCTTACACAACTTTCAACTTTATCTGTAGGATAACTTTCTTTTTCTGTCTTTTTTGGCTTTAAAGAATAGAAATTAATTTTCTCACAGTTTAGGAGGCTAGAAGTCCAAATTCAGGGCACTGCTATGGGGGAAGGCTGTCTCTATCTGCTCTGGGGGAAAATCTTTGTCTTAGCTTCCGTAGCCCTGGCATTCCTCAGTTCCCTGAGAATTTTCATGTGGCAGCGGCATCTCCTTCCACCCTCCAACCCCCATTTGTGCTTACTTCTGTATCTAATCTGCTCTTTTTATAACTCAGAAGTGATCACTACACTGAAATGTCCTCATTAACATAACAAAGAAAACCGTATTCGCAAATGGTATAACATCTACAGGTACAGGGGGTTAGGATTCTAACACATATTTTGGGGGACACATTTCAATGCATAACACCTGTGTATCTAAACAAACTCTTGGGTTCAAGAGGAGTATTTTATACTACCTAAGTCTCCTGGACAATAGCCTACAAATGGAGGCAGGGACAGGCAATGAATCTAGGATAAAGCAATATAATGAAGATTGGAAATGTAAGATAGATTTCTAAAAGATGGAATTGATTGGGCTCTGACATCCCTACCTATGTGTGGCCCCTCTCCTTACCTTGCTTGGGCTGTGAAACCCACACCAGACCATGCTCCCCACCACCATATGGACCCCTCATCTCTATCCATCTCACCCTACTCCAGCTCCAACACCCAGCTCTGGGGCACTGTGCTCCCTCCCCACCTGGAGCAGAAGCCGGTGCATCTTGCTTAACCCCACATAATGGGGCCTGAATTGTCTCGGAAGAAAAAATAATTTTTTTTTTACATCTCTTAGTGGAACTTGAAATCTTCTTTATACAAATCTGATTAAGTTTATTCTGGTTTCAATATTGTTTAATGAGGGAATAAATATCCTCAACAAGTTGACATCAAGTTTATTAGCAAACTTATTAATGTTCTTGAGGAAAGCTCAAGAGTATGACCTTATTCTTAGTGAAGGTCAAAGCTTCATGGTACTCAGTGTTCATATAATTGAAC